CACCAGTCCACGACTGGCAAAATGAGTACAAAGACACCCACTTAGAAGGCGCAAAGAACCAGTCAGCTTCGTCCACTGTGGTACTGGCATCCAAATGGCCACGAGCAGCAGAAACCTAAGGCCGGAGACAAGCTGGAAAAGAAAAACTGTGCAGTTTGTTGTTGAAAGATGCGGAAGTCACAGCTCTACATTTCTGTTTATAAAATGGTCATACAATGCATCACCAGTGGTGTATGCTGGACCATGTGTTCGTTTGTCTTTTCATAAAGTGATATAAATGAACACAGGTAATCACAGGTACGGAAAGGTCAGCCCTAAAAAGAAACCAGAATTATTTATAAAGTGGTTAGGCAACTTTGTTTAACATTGTGCAGGGACAATCAAAGCATATCAAAGCATTTCATAATCAGATATAATTCCATCTTGTGCATCATCTTGCAGCTAAAGCTACTGGGTACAAGAGTAAAAGCACCAATGCTGCTACTCGTATCATGGCCATTGCTGCAACACTTGCTGTCACTTTTCCGTGGGGTTCGGAGGTGTTTGGATGCGTCTGAGCCAAGCAATGGCAGCAGGGACATGTCATCTGCAAATGATTTGCAACATCCCCAAAAAATACAGCATTTCCTCACTGGCCCTGTTTCCCAGCAGCGTCTGTCCTTGTTCTTCAGTGCTCGGCTTTTGTGAATCTTTTTCCTGTGTTTTGAGAGAGCTGAGCACACTGTCCCATTTTGCCAAAATTCCCCATCCAAAAACATCCAAATTTTCATTTTTTTTTGGGTCCCATTGTCCAGCAATGCAATGTCGAGTTCACCCACTCATCACACCTGATGGTCTCTACGGGTTCCCAGAGCTTTACTCAGGCACGATGTCCAGGTCCATCTGAGCAAATCAAGACATCAAAGACATTCAAAAACAATCAAACACATTCAAAAACATAAAAAAAAAACGCTTTTTCATTCAAGAACTATCTGCGTTTCCAAATATGTTAGCCGGAGTAATAAAATTTTCTGTGCAACCAGAGAGCCTATCATTCATCCAATAGCATTCATGGTTTGAAGGAAGTCCTCCTGCCCTCAGGTGGTCACAACGAGTGCCTAGGTTCACATGAGCACAGAGTGGAATGGAATGCCCGTATTTTTTTTTCAGTCCTGCCCCCCCCCTATCACCAAATTTCTCAAAAAACAAAACAAGCAGAAACAAATAACAATCAACAAAATATGAACAATCAAATTCAAAAAAATGTGATAATTGTGCCAACAAAATACGCCACACAAGTCTGGTTTCATCCCAAACTGGTTTCAGTGGCTTTCCGGGACACAAACAATTTCCCACACCACATTGCTTCGGCTGTGGCGGCGGATTTTCAGCCATGATGATTCCTGAGAATCTCTGAACATCCTTTGAGCCACTGCACACTGGCGGCAACGGGGAGGTTGTCCAAAAAAAGGAAGAACGAAAAATGCACTTGGCAATGAAGTCAGATGTTTTTTATAAAATGCATTTTCCACTCATTACAAGATCCTTTTAATGCTGGAATATCACATTTATGAAATGCCCTTTCCAGCTGACAGCATCTACCAGCCAATGAACCCATTGTCTGGAAGTTCTCCCAAACTGATGTTTTTTATAAAATGCTATTTCTGCCTGAACCTTTTTGGTTGCTCCTCTTTACCTATATTTTTGGTATAAAATGCCCCCCGGTTACAGCATTTTATAAGGACAAAGGTCGGGCATTTCATAAGGTACCAGTCATGTTTTTTTTATAAAATGCTATTTCTGCCTGAACCTTTTTGGTTGCTACTCTTTACCTATATTTTTGGTATAAACTGCCCCCCCGTTACAGCATTTTATAAGGACAAAGGTCGGGCATTTCATAAATGAAGCCAGATGTTATTTATAAAATGCATTTTTCACTCATTACAAGATCCTTTTAATGCTGGAATATCACATTTATGAAATGCCCTTTCCAGCTGACAGCATCTACCAGCCAATGAACCCATCGTCTGGAAGTTCTCCCAAACTGATGTTTTTTTATAAAATGCTATTTCTGCCTGAACCTTTTTGGTTGCTCCTCTTTACCTATATTTTTGGTATAAAATGCCCCCCGGTTACAGCATTTTATAAGGACAAAGGTCGGGCATTTCATAAGGTACCAGTCATGGAGGATGCAGAAACTATTTCTTAAACAAACCAAATTTACAGAAACTATTCCCTAAACAAATCCAAGTTTTAGAAACTTTTGAAACATATCCAATAAATTATACAGTAATAAAAAAAAACTAAAAAATAATTCAAGTTACACCTTCTAGGGATTGGTTTGAAACGGTTTGAAACGGTTTCGGACTATTACCTAGCAAGTAGCGGGAAACGGTTTGAAACGGTTTCGGACTATTTGCTAATTAGCCATTCTCAGAAACTATTTGAAACTATTTGAAACTGTTTGAAACTGTTTGCAGTCTTTGCCAGGGTGAATTAGCAAATAGTAGGAAACGGTTTCGGACGGTTTCGGACTATTACCTAGCAAGTAGCGGGAAACGGTTTGAAACGGTTTCTGTGATACCCTTACTCTGCCTTAAACCATCAAACAAGACAATATACCAATAAAGATAAATAAAACCTAAGTTGACAAATATATACACATTATGGCATATTGAAACTTCTTACAGATTGAAAAGTAAGAAAGAAACAGTGACTGATTCTGAGATGAGGAGTCAAAGAACATAGAACGAAACAGAATGAACATAGAACGAAACAGATGAAGGGTGCATGCGCCAACAGCCTGGCAGCCTCTCTCTCTCGGTGAGAACATGGCTCACTTGTCTGGGGCAATCTCTGGACTTTAAGTGATTGACTGCTATCCTTGTCCAGTGGTTGGGATTGGTAAAAGCAAACCTGGTTTTGTAAATGGTTTCTGGGTTTGGGGCCCAGATTAAGAAATAGTTTCTAGGATTTAAGAAATATTTAAGAAATAGTTTCCAGGATTTAAGAAATAGTTTCCAGGATTTAAGAAATAGTTTCTGGGATTTAAGAAATAGTTTCTGGGATTTAAGAAATAGTTTTCAGGAATTAGGAAATAGTTTTCAGGAATTAGGAAATAGTTTCCAGGATTTAAGAAATAGTTTCCTTTCATCTTAGGAAGGTTGAGCTGGTAGGCTCCCGGCGAAACCGGACCCCCCGGGCCCCCCGACAGACCTTGACAAATAGAGAAAAGTTCAGGCACACACCGGTCCGGACTTTTGGGGGAAACCCCCGGCTTGGGTATCCTCTGAGGTGTTTCAAATGCCATGTGGCAAAGGCCCGCTAACACCATCCCCCAACTCACCCGCAAAGGCTATCAGCCACATGGTTTTGTTTGGGGAGCAATTTGTTTTGATCCCACAACTTGTGGGTATCGCGTGTGGAAGTATTCGCGGCGTTGTATGGTGCATTTGGCAAAAACTGCGTTGGGACAGGGTATGTGTTTATGCTGCTGTTTGAGACACCCTTTCCTGGATTGAAACAGCATTACAATGGTATGGCGCGATAGCATTCCCAATTGGATTCTTGATGGTTTCAAATATCAAGCGTCAACAGTTTCAGTGTGGTGAGCCATGGGTGAAGGAGGCTCTAGTACTGACTATTAAACTGGCATGTGCGGTAAAGACCCATTGGCAAATGCGTGTTCCAAGATTGACCAGGTTTGCCCTGACAACATGGTCAATATCAACTTTTACTTGCAAATATTACCCCTTTGATTCAAGCAATGGTTTCTGGAAAATCAACATGATTTAGCAAATGGTTTCTACATGTTCTCCTTTACTTGCAAAAATGTTTCTACATATCCTACTTATTTAGCAGATGGTTTCTAGTATTTAACAAATGGTTTCTAGTATTTAGCACGTGGTTTCCAGAATTTGGCAAATAGTTTCTAGTGTTTAGCAAATGGTTTCTAGTATTTTGCAAATGGTTTCCAGTATTTAGCAAATAGTTTCTAGTACTTAGCAATTAGTTTCTAGTATTTAGCAAATAGTTTCTAGTATTTAGCAAATGGTCTCTAGAATTTAGCAAATGGTTTCTACCTCTGCAAGAAATAGTTTCTGGATTTTACAGAAATGGCAAATAAAGAAGCCAACGCACTCCACTAATTATGTATATATATATTGTACATGCTACATGTTGTATCATCTATCTTGCATTTATGTGCAATGTTCAGTTGTTCTCATCAAAATGAAACAGAAGAGTGCAAATCAGAGCAAGTTGGTTGGCAACAGCGGAAGACCGTTGTCCAAAATACCAACATTCCTCACAGCAGCCGCACAATCTGCACAAACACACGGAAACCACATTAACCACATCTTTACTAAAAAGGTGTTATATACAGCAAGAACATCTTGGAAGAACATGATGCTCTGATCAACACTCCACTGGCAGCATGTGGATGACGCGGTGCCAACGCACAATAAAGCAAGCTGCATGTCTTGCAAGAGGTGGACGCCATAATCCCAAAGACGACCTTGCACGTGCGGATTGGTCCCCCAGTCCACCTGACTACCTACTACCTGACTCTGTCCTGGAGAAAGTCGGGTTAGCCGGGAAATCGAACAAACACTGTTGATATGTTTTTTGCCACGGCTCTTTGAGTCCTTGCAACGCTGGGAGCTAACTTTATAGCACAGTCATCCGGAGTCACCAATTATGCACCATCTTTCCGAAATCTTTCCTCACAACCAAGCACAACATAGCAAACCAGGTGTCGGAATGAGGGTTCCCGGCCCTGCTCACATGCTTTCAAGGCAATACTATACGAGCCAACGTTGGGTCCTTGGCAAACAGCATTGGCAAATGCGTTCCAGGTGGGGTGAGAAAATTGAGCAATTGTCTTGAGAAAATGACTGCATGTAACTGCAACATCTGCAAATAGTGGGGAAATCCCGTGGATTGATCCAAGAAACACTTGGAATGAACCACTTCCATCATTTTCATCTAGCTGACATCTTGGCGGCTGTTTATGCAGCTCCTTTTTTCTCTGCAAATCTTGAGGTCCCAACTCGTGGCGCTGTCAGAAAGCTCAACGTGTCTTAACGTCACTTAACATCACATGACCTAACTTCCTAACTTTGAAGTTGAAATGGTAACCTGACGTAACCTGCTTCTCAACTAAGCTAGGGACCGTACGAAAGCATTGACACAAATCCTAGTCCTAGTTCGAAAACCACATTGAATCTCACAACTCATCATCTTCATCAGCTTCATCTTCGTCTTTCTCTGGAAACTCCTAAGTGGAAGGCAACCAAATGGCCACACTTTTCTCATTCAAGCTCGCAATATCTACAATGCTACAAAAGCAGGTTTCCATTGCCATGCATGGTGATACTTGTATGCATTCTTGGCCCACACTTGCTTCATGTTTTGCTACCCACAAGGCCCACAAGGCACAAAATTGTTGAGATGTTGACACCGATAATGAAAAGGACTGGATGCAGCTCAAATACATCATCTGGGCAAAGACCAGTAGCACGGTGACAAACCCATCCTCAACTTGGCTCAGCAAAGTATCCTGTCTCGGGTAGCTGGCAGCTGGTAGCTTGAGAACTATGTTCACGCAACAAAATGCCTCATTTTCCCTGTCATGTTTGCTCGTTGGGTACCCATTGCAATGAAATTCCGGACGCAACGCAGCAAAGCCTGCCCTTCTTGAAGTGAGGCGGCATTTTCATGCATTTTCATGCATTCCTTACGAATCGCCGCATATTGCCGCCAAGGCGCTATCAGTGAACGCAGTGCTAACTCTGAACTCGTCTGATTGTTCTGTGAACCTCTGTTCCAGGTGGCGGAGAGATGACGCAACACGCAACTGCCTCACCGACACCCAACTGATGGGCAATGCTCCGGTTGCCCATTGCTCCTATTTTCCGCTATCATTTTCCGCCTTTGATCCGGTAGATATGATATGGATATGACTCATATAACCGATATGATTCTCTCAACGCTCCAGATCTAAACTATGATGCTATGATTACTATGATGCGTATCTCCACATCCAGCAGTATAAAAAGAGCGGAGGGAAAAGGTTCTTCTACAAACTCCGTTCTTCTAGAGATGTCTTTCAGGTTGTGACACGGATGACAGTATTTAAGCGATTTTGTATAAGATGTATAAATGTAGATATCAGCCCAGCGATCAAGTGACGCAATATGAGGTAATTAATCGTAATGGCACTTGAGATCACTTGATATTGGCATTCGCGATGCTTTTGCAAGGCACCTGTAGGCCCTTGTGAGCAGCTCACCCTGCAGTTGCGGAAGCATCTGTTCGCAGTGTCTCACCAATCCGTCTACGACCACCCTGGGCAGCTGGGCAGACTGCGGTGCATGGCTCACTTGCGGAGATGTGTGGTGAAACCATGTTGAAACCAGTCGATATTTACAATTTGATGGAATTCCGATGAATTCTGCATACACGAAGCCATCAAATCAGTTTCGAACATTTTCGAACTACAATAGCTGGCTCAAGGGGAAAAGAAATGAAAAGAATGCATCCTTGCCCTTTGCTGCCGTCGAAATGAAAAACTTCTATGCTAGGATGATAGGGACCGCGTTTCCATATGCAAGCCACCATGAACTCCAAACCACTCACTCTCGCACGTCGTTTGTGCTGGACCAAGGAGCTGCATGTTCTCCGTCACATCTCTGTAGCCTAGCATGGGCCAAAGGCTATAGATTCTATAGACTTCCCCCGGTTCAGGCACACAAAATTACACAAACTATGCCCGGGGCTGCCAGAAAACTCCCTAAAAATGCCCGTGTTGATGTGCTGGCAAGGAGCGAAATCCGCCATTGACCTCTGGCTCGTTCTCCTTATCTGACATCAACTGATAAAATGACTAAATGAGAAATATTATAGACTCTGCTGTGTATAGTTCTTTGCAGAAGCCAATTCTGTTACAGCAAAATCAGTAAACACGTTTCAGGATGAGTTTCTATTCTATAAATTCAAGATTCCACTGACATTGATAACTGGACGCATTATAAAACTAGTTCAGGATAGTTCAGGCCGCATCGTTCAATGTTTTTGGGTCGTGCTAGCAACACGAACTGACCCACTACTTCCAAAGAACAAAGTTAAACGTTGTCATCCAAGTAAAACCATGACTTTACTTAAAAAGACTCATTGACTGCTGATATATATATATACATATATATATATGTCAAAAAAGGGTGACCTTTCCCCTGAGCCTAATCGAATCCGTAAATCAATCCTCAAAATTCTGAATAAAAATATGTGGTTTCCATGCTCAAGTTTTTGATTGGTTTTCACGGGTTTTTCACTGTCTTTTCACGGGTTTTTCACGGTCGTTTCACGCACTTTTCACGCTCTGGGTTTGGAGTGGGATTTGTTTGAAACTCTGGAGTCCGGTATATATTTATACTAGTACTCATTGTCATTGGGTCTGATAATGCCCAGTAAACACATGTCGCTTCCAAAGACAAAGTTAAACTTTGTCGTTGTGAAAGCCCCAGTTAAACTTTGTCGAAGACTGAGTGGGTGAAGTCATATATTCACCGCATCCCACGTATTCGTCTACAGTACCAGCAACTGAGGAACATCAACGAAGGAGACTCTCATAGTATCCCGCTTTTGCCTGATACGAATTCGCCTCAGAATCAGGAATCGTGGCCTCCTCAGAAAATCCGATAATTGAATATAAATGATGAAATAAACATAAATAAACACCACAATAATTAGCACACATGAGAATCCAATTATGGGTCGAAGTCAGAATACTCCCCAGGCAGTGTAACCTCGTATAATTTTATAATATAAGTAATTGACTAGGGTTTTGGGTCACTGCTCAAGTGTCCTCTAGATTAACGAAGCAGCTCCAATCCTGTCTTGTCTCATTTGGTCCCGATGGCTGAAGTGTTGGCGAGAACCCCTCAGTTGCCGCTTTCATCCTGTTCACCAGGAACGGAAAAACATGTTGTAAGCGTTGATTGACGAATGGTGTTGAGGCCTCAATCTTGCACTTTAGGGTGGGGCGTTCCAAAATGGTTCAAGGCCATTTCTCAGACTGAGGGTTTCACTTTGGAAATCGTCGCTTGCTGCATACCTTCTGCTGGTCGGCTGCCTGCATGCTGTAGGCGACTGTAAGTGTGTGCTCTTCCAAATCTTCCAAATGCTTGTGGCTGCTTCCCGACAAGTTGGCATGTCTATGTGCACTCTGGGAGGCGAACGGAGCCATGTCACCATGAAACAAATCGTTAAATAGCACACTGTGTATATATATATACATGTGTACATATATATATATGTGTATGTATGTATGTATGTCTGTCCGTGTCTGTATGTATGTATGTACGTATGTATGTATGTATGTCTGTATGTCTGTATGTCTGTATGCCTGTATGTCTGTATGTCTGTATGTATGTGTATGTATGTGTATGTCTGTGTATGTCTGTGTATGTCTGTGTATGTCTGTGTATGTCTGTGTATGTATGTGTATGTATGTGTATGTCTGTGTATGTCTGTGTATGTCTGTGTATGTCTGTATGTTTGTATGTCTGTATGTCTGTATGTCTGTATGTCTGTATGTCTGTGTATGTCTGTGTATGTCTGTGTATGTATGTGTATGTATGTGTATGTATGTGTATGTATGTGTATGTATGTGTATGTATGTGTATGTATGTGTATGTATGTGTATGTCTGTGTATGTCTGTGTATGTCTGTGTATGTCTGTGTATGTCTGTACTAGCACCGTACTTAAGTCACATCAGGCGGGAAAAGTCACATCATCCCCATGGCACGGCGGCGATACAGAAAAGTCACATCAGGTAGTGGAAAGTCACATCAGGGAAGAAGAATCACCATGGCACAGCCTGTTTCATCCTTACTTGGAGATGTAGTTAAAAGTAGCCGAAGCATTGCGCACAGCGATGATTTTGAAGGGCACAAGTTAATACAAACAAATTCTCGGCAGCTAATCCTATTGGATTTGAATATATTATATTGATGTCCTGCGTCGCGTGACCAAATCAAACCCCTATTGGTGCAGCCTCAAATTTCTTGCAATGCAAGTGGGTTAGCTGTAGCAAATCCTATTGGCAGGGCTATGATCTAGGATGATATAAGGATATGGGGGCGGCTGGCGCGATGTGCATCAATGTCGTGGATAGCTCTCAAGAAGTTTGTTGTCCTATCCACCCAAGAATTACGAACTGGAAAAAAAACATTCCATTGCGGGCGGAAAGCGTGGCAGGTTTTGTTGGTGCTCCGTCTGCGCGTCTGTTGTGTCTGTTCCGTCTTGCGCCGTCTTGCCGTCTGCGCCGTCTTGCGAGATGGTGCGAGATGGCGCAGATGGTGGGCACAGCGACACAACCGCGCTATGCGACCGCAATGTTTCATTCCAACCAGCCAGACACATTCCCTGGTGTCTCCCGCTCGTACCTCCCGTCAGCGCCAAACTAGGCGACCGAGACTGTTATTTTCTGTTTCGGCAAAATGTTTGCACGAGCGGCAGCAGCAGCAGGAGGAAGCAGCAGCAGCAGGAGGAAACAACAGCAGCAGGAGGCAGCAGCAGCAGCAGCAGCAGGAAGCAGGAGCAGCAGGAGGAGGAAGCAGCAGCAGCAGCAGGCGGAAGCAGCAGGCGGAAGCAGCAGCAGCAGCAGCAGGAGGAAGCAGCAGCAGCAGGAGGAAGCAGTAGCAACAGGACGCAGCAGCAGCAGCAGGAGGAAGCAGTAGCAACAGGAGGCAGCAGCAGCAGCAGGAAGCAGCAGCAGCAGGAGGAGGAAGCAGCAGCACCAGGCGGAAGCAGCAGCAGCAGAAAAAGGCAGCAGCAGTAGCAGCAGCAGGAGGCAGCAGCACAAAGCAGCAGCAGCAGCAGGCAAGCAGCAGCAGCAGCAGCAGCAGGAGGCAGCAGCAGGCAAGCAGCCGCAGGCAAGCAGCAACAGGCAAGAAGCAGCAGGCAAGCAGCAGCAGCAGGCAAGCAGCAGCAGGCAACCAGCAGCAGGCAAGCAGCAGCAGCAGGAGGCAGCAGCAGGCAAGCAGCAACAGGCAAGCAGCAACAGGCAAGCAGCAGCAGGCAAGCAGCAGCAGGTAAGCAGCAGCAGCAGCAGACAAGCAGACAAGCAGCAGCAGCAGCAGCAGCAGCAGACAAGCAGCAGCAGCAAGCAGCAGCAGCAGCAGCAGAAGCAGCAGCAAGCAGCAAGCAGCAGCAGCAGCAGCAAGCAGCAGCAGCAGCAAGCAGCATGCAGCATGCAGAAGCAAGCAGCATGCAGCATGCAGAAGCAAGCAGCATGCAGAAGCAAGCAGCATGCAGCATGCAGCATGCAGCATGCTTCAGGCAAGCAGGCAAGCAGGCAAGCAGCAGGCAAGCAGCAGGCAAGCAAGCAGGCAAGCAAGCAGGCAAGCAGCGGGCAAGCAAGCAGCAAGCAAGCAAGAAAGCAGCAGGCAAGAAGCAGGCAAGCAAGCAGGCAAGCAGCGGGCAAGCAAGCAGCAAGCAAGCAAGAAAGCAGCAGGCAAGAAGCAGGCAAGAAGCAGCAGCAAGCAAGCAGCAAGCAAGCAGCAAGCAAGCAGCAAGCAAGCAACAAGCAAGCAGCAAGCAAGCAAGCAAGCAGCAGCAAGCAGCAGCAAGCAGCAGCAAGCAGCAGCAAGCAGCAAGCAGCAGCAGCAAGCAGCAAGCAGCAAGCAGCAGCAGCAGCAGCAAGCAGCAAGCAGCAGCAAGCAGAAGCAAGCAGCAGCAAGCAGCAGCAAGCAGGAGCAAGCAGCAGCGAGGAGCAGCAAGCAGCAGCAAGGAGCAGCAACAACAGGCAAGCAGTAGGTGAGCAGCAGGTGGGCAGCAGGTGGGCAGCAGGTGGGCAGCAGGTGAGCAGCAGCAGGTAAGCAGCAGCAGGTAAGCAGCAACAAGCAGCAGCAAGTAGCAGGCAAGCAGCAGGGAAGCAGCAGGCAAGCAGCAGGCAAGCAGCAACCTGTGTTTGCCCCCTTGAAAGAATGATAAAATATATTTAAAAAAAACAAGGCAATAAAAAAATTGAACTTTTTCCAGCCGCACGGCCCCAAAACAATGAATTGCTCAATTACTAAAAGTGGTGGTGATGCCAAAGTTGAACTTTTTCCAGGCGCACGGCCTCCCGATACGACTTTTACAAGCTGATACGACTTAACGCTAGCGCTAGTATGTATGTGTATGTATGTGTATGTCTGTATGTCTGTATGTCTGTATGTCTGTATGTCTGTATGTATGTATGTCTGTCTGTCTGTCTGTCTGTCTGTATGTATGTATGTATGTATGTATGTATGCATGTGTGCATGTGTGTGTAGTAATATACATATATACTTATATTATATTATGATATGTATATATATATACCACAAATCCCAAATGCATCCAAATCCATCATTCACTCACTTGCACCGACCATGGTACTGCCACGAGCAGCGTGCACAGTAGCTTTGTTCCAGCCAAAGAATGCCCGTCTTGCAAGCAAAAAAGATTAAACAAGTAAGTGAATCCACAATCAGATTCAATCTGCAGCACTATTCTTGCTGTGGACTACCGGCGTCAAACAAGATAAACAAGTGTCATTGATCTATTCTGATCCATTGTGCGCTTTGGCAACAGATTCAGGAACTATCAGGAACTGCAGGACCCTAGCAATGCAGAAACAAAGGAGCGGCAGTTTTTTGATCTGCGGTCCATTGTGGTCCAGTTTATTAAACTGTCGTTCTGTAGATCTTCTCCAGGCCTTGATGCATCAAGACTCATGACATACAAAACATAAGCTGGAGAACAACAAGGAACTGTTGACATATAGAAGAGCTTTTAGAATCGAATTATAGAATGAGAAAAATGTGAGAAACAATAAAAAAATTAAAAAAACATTTGCACAAAGTAGCGAACACCGGGTCGTGAACACGGCGAGTTCTTCAGAGAAGTTTCAATTCAGTGCAGCCTATGGAAGCCAATGTGTCTGCTGGAGCTGGGCCAATCGCACAGACCGTTCGACTATGGGGTGCAACTTGCGTGTGGCCGGCATCTCTCACGGTGTAAGCAGTCCTTGGATAAAGTTTGTGGACAGGTTACTTCATTGAGAACAATGCCTATAATATCCTATAAGTAACTAATAATTTAGGTACAAAATGGATAGAACTGGTCATTCATCTGAATTCTCTCGAGAACCACCATCTGCGATGCTTGCAAGATATGCAACATAAAAACAAGTTCAAGCAAGGTAACACAAATGATTTCTACACAAAGACCTATGTTCTTATGTTGTATTGTTAAGTTGTATTGTTTTGTCGTGGTGTCGGGTGCTTTGATGATAAACTGTGATGTGTTCATGCATGGAGTCTGCGTTGTTCGGAAAATAGCTGCACATTGATGTTGGGAGAATTCTGACTTGTGTTGCGCAGTAGTTGGAATGCACGCATAACTGCAAGAAGCTGGTCGGGGTCATGACATTTCAAATGAACACGGTTTTTGTTAATGTACAAATGAAATGGCAAAGGACTTAACACATGACCCCTACACCATGAAACCAACAACGTTGAAATATGATGAAATATGTAAAACTCTTCAAGGCGCAAATCGCGTTTAGATGCTTTGGTAGCAAAGTCGCAAAGCTCCTCCTTCAAGGCGGGCAGCATCAGGCAACTGCGAGTCAAGACTGGGGTCCTATATGTCCCATAGTCAAAAATTGGAAACACTTGGAACATCTTGGAACCGGATACTCCAATATTGTGCACACATGTGAGCCCACTCTTGCTGCGGAATTTAAGTACTTTAGAGCACAATAAAGATGAACAATAAGAATCTACACAATGTGATCTCAACATGTTTCTCTCAAATTTTCTCTCTATCTATACTCACGCTCTTGCAATGCATACACACTTCTATGCAAAGGGTCTACCTTGGTCCCCCTTTTTTGCTAATCAGTGGGGTGAACAAACCATTAAAACATATTATTGAGAATCCCGCTGGGGAAGAGGCCCAAAAGACTGGACAAAATCTATCTAGATACATGGTGGGCAAACTTAGTAGCTCTGCGCAGTGGCGCAATGCTGGGTGAGGTGGAATATGACTGCAGGTGCAAGTGCAGTGTTCAGATTGTACAGTCATGTCTTGACGGCTCTCTACTTCGTGCAGCTGCAAAAACCTGGTCTCGTCTTGGGCTTGAGTGGCATCATGAATCAGAGCGTACAGCATTGGAGGGTTACGGTTTATTGATGTTTATTGTAGAGTTCCGTCCCATAGCAGTTGCAAAGAGGAACATGAGGAACGCCAGGAAGAAGCAACACATCAACAAGCATAACAAGCGCATTTAGGTGATTCATGTGATTCGAATTGCATCTCCTCGCTGCTGACTTTCAAAGCAATCTTCATGGCGCCAGACGATTCCCACTGATCCAGCCAGTGGTTTTGCTGCTGTCTGGCAACGTGGTACGCCCCCAAGACCGCATGCCCGCACTGAGCAGCAATCTTGCCTGAGCGCTTTCTGAATACTTTTTGATTACCTAGTGACTTGGTGTGAACAGAAATAGCCGTTTCATTGCTCTCACAAGAAAGCAATACAGCTGCGGGCTCATGTTACGTTCTTGCGTGTACTTAATGTACTTGTTTTTCAATATTCATGTCTTCATGCTACCTACTTTCTATGGCAAATGGATACAGTACATATGTCTGGAGCCGGATCGAGGTGAAAAAGGTCTTCTGTTTATAGCCAATGCCAGTTTGTATCCTCATTGTAAGTCCTATTTTCTCTTTTAATCGTAAAAGAGAACTGTAAACAAATCAGAAACTTTGGTTTTTCTGTACTGTACTTTACACATCTTTACACTGTACTTGCTGCAAAAGGTGCCCTTTTGCATTCCCAGGTCCGTTCGCACCAGAAGCACCATTTTCAGTTCCCCTCTAGCTGCGCGCTGCCGTGGGCGCTGTTCACCTCGTGGTTGGGCGAAGCAGTTTGCATAACAAAGGCCAAGAGCGAAGCCAAGCAGGAGCCCAATCACAGCGCACACCAAGGGCTCATTGAGAAGATCCTTAAACATCGATGAAACAATCAAAATGAGATGAAGTTCTTCCACTGATTTTGGTATTTTTGTTCAAAAAGCAGCTGCACTGTAAGTGTAAGCGGGAAATTCTCAACAATGTGGAAATGAAAATTTTGGACATAATCGGAAGCACAGCATGTTCCTTATCCCGTATTGCTCTGGATGTCGCCCTTTACGATTCTTCCCAATGCGGTACACAGCTGATGGTTTTCCAACCCCCAAATCTTGTTTTAATTCCCTAGGAAAACTGTTCAGTTCATGACATGCAACATGCAACTTATGCTTGTCAAAATGCCAGGGTGAGCTGAAACCACGCAAATGAGCTGCAGCATGAACCAGTGTGATTGCAGGATTCGTTCGATACGTGCCTGGGTCAACACCCTCATTATACCGCACATGAGCAAAAAACCTGCCACAATCACTAAGTGTGAATTTGTTGCTTCCTTGTGGCCACTCATGTACTGTAGACCTCCTCTTACATCTGAATTTTATTTCCTGTTGCTCATCTTTCTCGAACGAAATCCAAAAGTGATCCGTAGTCTATGTGTACACAGAAGTACGTAGGTCCAGACCTCTTGACGATGGATATATTTGCGATGCACACACGATTAACATATTCCCTGGCCTCCAGTACCTTCTGTGCGGTGTTTCGTCGCTGTGCTGCTGCACCCGCACGCCGCCCCCACTTGTGCCTGCTTCATAATGCGTGAGAAGTAGAATTAAAATCACGCATGCCACTGCTTCATCACTAGCTTTGTATCAGTTGGATCAGCTGGGGCCCAAGAGCTTCTCACGGATCTGAATGCGTATGACACTTGAAGACAGGATTGTTTGAACAAATATATATGTCCTGAGGGTCCAATTTTTAAATGCAGGAAACACACTCTGCAATCCAAGTGCATTTTGACGATTTTTGGCGCGCATTCCAACATGGTCTGTTCTGCTTAGCATATGTTAGCATCATTAGCTACCTTGAGGCGCCTTCAGGCGCCCTAGGAAGATGCTGAGTGAAACCTACTTCGTTCACTTGGTTCGTCTTCGTTCGCTTCGCTTGCATCTTGAATTAGCCACTTGAGTCACTTGAGCACCCACACATCCCCGTCTGACCATGTCAGAGTTGGCTGGGCATAGAGTGTCAGAATTGCCTCGCGGCTTTGGGAATTCAACTCGAAGCGAGTGTTGGAGCAAAGGTTGAAGGGATCATGGTGTGGGAGTTCGTGCCCCCCGCCCTTCCATCATTTTCAAAGCACCCTGAACATCACTAAACGACATTGACAGTTGGTCCTTGTTATAACAGCAACGAGATCAAATTTTATTTGGCATCGGATACAAGCGAGTGTCAAGAACAAATGGCACTAGCTCGCTTTCTGGTGCCTTCTTTTAGGGCACGTGCTTTTCTGCCCTTTAACTATGCACCAGGACCGGCCTCATGAATCTGCCCCTCCAATGCAATATTCAAGCGACTCCCAGACACACTAACCGGTGAGACGCTTGCCTTCGACATGGCGCAGAATGATGCCAAAGGAATCAACTGAATCAGAAAAGGTGGGTCATCTTATTTCTAACTATATAGGCTAAGGAAATGTTCAAAGGCAACACTTCTACATATTCATCGACGCTGCGTTCACAATGGTCAAAGCACATCTAAATACCAAGAATACCAAGAATTGAATCTTGCCGACCTTAGCGGTGGCAAATAAAACACATTGTGAGTCTTGTCTGCTCCAAGACTATGGTTCCGTTCAGTCTCAAATCAACTGCAACATTGCATGCCAAGAGAAAATCTGGTACAGGAGCTGGAGAAGTGACCCAGAAGCATTCTTAAGCAACAATTCATGAATACCGGGCCCATGAGCAAATAACTTTAACGGACATTGTGTTACCCTGTGCGTTGTATTGTGGGCCCCTGGATTGGGATTTTATCATCGTTGCAAAAATAAACATTCCGGCCTCTCTCACTCATTCCCGTATCAGCTGCATTTCGAGCTGCGCTCTCACTTTTTGGATGCTGCCCTGCCTGTTGGTCGCATTCCGTTGCAGCAGCTGCGCGTGCTGCTACGGATCCATTTCCGGCCATATATTAGTGCGACTCGAACTGGCCATGGTATCGCGCTTCCTTTGTGGACCATGTCGCAGGTTCTTCTGGGTGAAGGGCGCGGCTCGAGGACTCAGTGCAATTCATCATGTCCTCGGTCCTCGTTGATCTGTGAATTGATTTCCTTCGCTGTCCTGTATTCCTGCAGGGCTTCTGTGAGGTGGCTCCCCTTCCGGGCACTGTCGTTTCTCATCTGTGCTGCTGTCTTCGTGGGCTCGTCATTGGTGCAGCACCTGGTTTTCACCATCATCCGAATGTCTCTGGTGTGAGAATGGCGATTTCCAGCACATAGAGGTGTGCTGTTCTCTTCTGTGTTCTGCTCATTGGATGTCCAGGAATGGTTCCATTGGTGCGGGCCATGCCTGCAAGTGACCGTGGCACTAGGTCTGAACCTTTGGTGCTGAGAGTGGCGGTGCCTGGTCACGAACTCCTGGTCCTGCGTCACTCGAGGCGGGTGACTGACTTCGCAGACTGCCTTGGCGAGAAGTGCCACTGGTGTGCCACTCGCGATCATGATGTTCGTGTGCTGCTGGTCCATGGAATGAGGTTGAATAATATTTTCGGAATTCCATCAGGTAATGGTCCCTGCTTGGTCCCATCATGCACCCTACAGTGAATCATGCACGCCTCCCTTGAAGGCGGTTTCAAGGGTGTTTGGAACTGACTGTCCCCGGCTACCCTCAGCTTCTGAACAGCTTGACCGCGGTGTCCTGCTATCATATATATTTTCCAGCCCTATATAGAGGTCATCCTGGCCTGGAGATCGAGCCATGCATTCCAAATGATCCCGTGAAGTCCGGGACAAGTGTCCTGTGGCACTCTGGGTTCGCTTCTGTTGACGGTGTGCTGCGACGGTGGTGCTGCTGCCATCTGCTGATGCCCTTCCAGGTGTCCCCGGGGAGGCCGTCTCATGCGGCTAGTTTGAGTTCTGCGGTTAGTTGTTCGGTGTGCCAAGGTCGTTGGCAACGGATTTCTGCCTGCACTGGCCACGCACGACCTGGCTGCTGCAGGGACCCCAGCGGTGGGGATTCCTGAGATGTCTCCACCGTCAGATGGTAGTTTTCCGTGTGGTGGAGCTCCAGGATCGTGCTGTCACGTGGTGAATGCGCATCGGTTCCGCTTGGTGGCGAACCCATGGATGTGGTTTCTGTCCGTCGTCGAAGAGCTGGATCTGGATGTCCAAGCCCCGTTTGCCGGCAAGTTCTCATACCCTAGGTCAGGGAAGTGTTGTGCTCGAGGAGCATGCTCCCAAATGTTAGCATTCATGCTAACCGCATGGGTCGCCAGCAGGTCCGGATCCGGGTGGCGTGCTGTCTCCCCAAGCTGTGTCATGAACTCAATGGTTGGGCCACAGCAATTCGTTCATTGAGTTTCGTGGACAACTTGGGCTTGGTGGCGGCCATTCCCAGTTTGCTTGCGCAAGGCCTCATTTGCCTTCGGGAGTTTTCCGGCTGTGGAATCTTCAATTGGATTCAGCCAAGTCGTACTGCTGGGCGCTACACGATGCTGACAGGCGTCAACTGGCTGTGATACCTTTCCAGCGTGTTGAGCACGCGCATGAATTGGGTGGGGTGTTATCCTTCACCCGCCGAAGATTCACTGGTTTGCAACAGAAACGGATCAGCTCTCTCTCAGTCAAGTGGAAGCGACTTATGAGTAGTCGAGCACCACTTCGACAGAAGTTGCAAGTGCTGCCCAGCGTTTTTTGGTCTTCAGCTTTGTATGGTATCAATGGCTCCTGCCTTGGGGAGCATCACATCGATGATCTTCGGAAACAAGCAGTACGTGCTCTGCGTCTGAACGGTGCCGGCTCCAACAGCCTTTTGCTGCTTTCGCTCTGCGGCACTCCTTGCGCTGATCCTGGCTTTTGGAGACTGCGTATGACTGTCAGAGCTCTCCAGCGTTTGTTGCGCAAGGAGCCACGTCTTTTTGGTTTAACGACCTCTGGATGCCTGCTTGTAGGAGCAACAGCCAGATCAGGAGGCTGGCCACTCCGACGTGCCAGCTGTTGGCTAAAGCTGTGTGACGCTGTTTATGCTGCTGGTATAACCCACAGGTATGTGGTGAAGTGTCTCTTTGGTTTCGATGGGGCTTTCGCAGTTGGTGGCTTGGGTCGGCCATGAGCACTGTTTCATGGTAGTGCCATGGGGCGTACTGCCACCCACCTGCTCTATATTGCGGAATCCAGCTTTTGGTAAATCGAGATCCAGCACGACCGGCTTCTGTTGGCGCCGGGGTGGTGAAGCACGGCAAATGTTCGCCCGCCAACCAACACTTTGGTGACGACCAACCGTTTGGGATGTGTGCCTCGCTGGTTGGTTGTGGGCACACCAGGCGATGTGTCCCGAAGTGTTTCTTCCATGCCAGGTTGTGTCCAAAGACAGCTGCCACGGTGTTGTCTTCCCAGCTGATGGACTTTCAACACACCGTGGCCGGGAGATGCGCTTGAACTGATTGGCATTGAAGATGACTGCTGGATGTCGCCTCTGCGATTGGTGGTCAGTCTCTTGCCTGTTCGCTTCAGGATGTCTTTCTGCCATTGACAGTACTGCTCGAATTTGATGCCTTCGAGCCCTTCTGTTCCAGCACCCTCCATGATGCGGGAAATGTCCGGGCATGGCGGCCCTGCGCACGTCAAGATGACGGCTTCTAAGTGTCCAACTCCTTGAGTCGGGCAATGACGGCGTCCACATCATCCAGGCTGAAGTCACCTCGGTGTTCTGCTTGGTGTGCGCGTTGTGTCAGTATTCTTCTTCAGTCTCCCAGGCCAAGTATCTCAGAATGTGGCAGTTGGCTTTCTGGGCCGCTGCGTCCAGTGCCATCTTGGCACAGCCGATGCCGTCAAGGGTGTTCAGCAAGATGACGGGGTGTTGATTCCACTGATTGGACTTGTCTGGGAGTCCACTCGCCACCTTTTCCCGGGTACTCCATCAGCTGATGCCGAGCTGTTCCTAGCCCCTGTTCTATAGCCGCCAGTCCCTGACCGACGGTACGAGTCATGCTTCTGGGATTGGCGTGGCTGCCATGTGCCCCAGCTGGCCCACAGTTTCTGTGAGGTGCTCTTTCCTTGATTGTGGTTGTGTGCTCGATGCGGTTCAAGCTTCGAAGGCTTGGTCGGAGGTTGTGGCCTGGCTTTGGGCATCACCGGGGGCCTTTTTGCAGCGCATTCTGCAGTGCGTGCTGTTCAGCCATGATCCACTTGGTCACAAGAGCTGAACTCTGCTCCCTGTCGGAGCTCCAGGCACAGCTTCCAGCTGGCTTCCAGCCAGTACATCTTGATCTGTTTCAATTTCTGGGCTTTCGTGCGTACCAGGCAACGCCACCGGGCGATCATGCCAGCCTCCGTGCCAATGCGGAGGAGTATCAGCGCCCATTCGATGGCTTCCAGGGCGTCTAGGAGTGAAAGCACTCCCTTACCTGTTTTTCATTTGGCACTCGAGCCTTCACACCTTCGGCATTCGGCTCGAGTGCTCAAAACCTCCCATGTTCCTACGCACAATGCTTGTGCCGCATTGCAAAAATACAGCTTGAGAGGGGAACGCGACAGGTAGGTGATGAAGAAGGGGAAGCAAAACTCTCCGTGTAAAAGCTGGTTGCGTGTAAAAGTGTGCTGTGTGCACAAGTTTCTGTGTGCAATTCGTCTTCCGTGTAAAGGCATCTGTGTATAAAGCGTCTGTATGTAAAAAATGTTGTGCATAAAACCTTCTGTGCGTAGAACTTTCTGTGTCAAAACCATCTGTCTGGAAAAATTGCTGTGCATTTTAAAAAAATCTGGCCGTAAAGGCTTCTGTGCGGAAGAGTTTCTGCTGTGTAAAAGCTGTTCTGGGTAAAGTGTCTGCTTGCAAAAAAATGGTGCGTATTTTTTTTTGCGCACTCT